CATGTCAAGGAAGACGACGAGGTTTCCAGCGACTGTGTGAGAGACTGCCGGAGCGCATTCCCGAAAGGTAAAGGCGCTTCTCTCCTTATGATTATTGGATTGCTTAATAATTAATTATTATGTTGTAATATTTTATTGTTTCTTATTATTATCATTATTACTATTACTATACATCATCATCATCATCATTATTATTATTGTTACTATTACTATAAAAATATATATCCTCCTCCTCCCCTCATTATGTATTATTTATATTTAGTATCATTATTATTATTAATTAGTATTATTAATATTAGTCATTATATTATTAATATTTAATTTTTATTATTATTATCTAAATTATTTTATATTATCATTATTATCATTATCATTCCTAATAAAATTATACTGCAAAAGATTCAGGTTGTTTAAAAAGTCCCGAAAAGGTCAGTCTTGCAACAAGATACCAACGTCTTAAACCATTAACAAAAACAACAAAGACAACAGTTATGAAGACAACATAATAGCAAAAAACAATATGAACCGCAATTGTGACAATAAAAACAACAAGAACAAAAATAACAAGAAAAAGTTAGAAAGTTAAGAATAATATGACGTTGATTTTACACGCACGTACACAAAATCTTCTTCACTAATTTGTATATCTTTAACAGGTGGATGATAGTGGACCGATGGTGGTTGTTTAAATGTATAATGATAGGATGATAACGTATGACTAAAGATGGTGAGATGACGGTGGTAGGTGTATAAGGATGGTGATTATGATGAAATGACTGAAATACAATAAATATGATTATTTTATTTTGGATAAGAATTGGGGCTGGTGAACTGGTTTGGAGATGGAACTAGGTGTTGGAGAATGGACTGAGGTGTTGGAGAATGGAACTGGTGTTTGGAGATTAATGGGTACGGTGTCGGATGATGGAACTTAGTGTATTGGTATGTGGTGTTGGAGTGAAGGAGTAGGTGACGGTGTCGGAGATAAAACTGGTGTTGGAGATTGAAACTGGCGTATGGAGATGGATTGGTGTCGGAGATGGAAATGGCTAATTCGGAAATGGTATGGATGTCGGTAGATGGAACTGGTGTTGGAGATGGAACTGAGTGTTGAAGGATGGAACCTGGTGTTGGAAGTGATGGTGAGGGTAAGGTGTTGGAATGATGGACTGGTGATGTTGGAGATGGAACTGGTGTTGGAGACTAGGAACTGGCGTTGGGATGGAACTGGTGTAGGAGATGGAAACTGGTATGGAGATGGAATTGGTGTGGAAGATGGAACTGGTGTTGAGATGGAACTGGTGTTGGGGAGATGGAACTGGGTTGGAGATGGAACTGGTGAGATGGAACTGGTGTTGGAGATGGAACTGGTGTGGAGATGGACACTGGTGTAGAGATGAAACTGGTTGAGAGCATGGAAAACTGGTGTTGGAGATGATGAACTGGTTTGTGGAGATGGAACTGGTGTTGGAATTGGGATCTGGTGTTGGAGATGGAACTGGTGTTGGAGGATGGGAACTGGTGTTGGAGATGGAACTGGTGTTGGAAGATGGAAACTGGTGTAGTGAGAAACTGGGAAATGACAGTTGAAGATGGAAACTGGTGTTGGAGATGGAACGGTGTTGGAGATGGAAATGGTGGTAGGAAGATGGATACTCTGAGGCGTTTGTGGAACTGGTGGAGTTTGGAAACTTGGTGTTGGAGATGGAACTGGATGTTGGAGATGGATCGGAGATGGAACTGGTGTGGAGGATGGAACTTGGGTGTAGGAGATGGAACTGGTGTAGGAGATGGAAACTGGTGTATGGAGAATGGAACTGGTGGAGATGAGAACTTGGGATGGAACTGGAGATGGAACTGGTGTTGGAAGATGGAACGGTTAGTTGGAGATGGAAACTGGTGTTGGAGATGGGAACTGGGTGTGGAGATGTTGGGTGTAGGAGATGGAACTGGTGTTGGAGATGGAACTGTGTAGGAGATGGAACTGGTGTTGGAGATGGAACGGTGTTGGAGATGGAACTGGTGTTGGAGGGAGATGGAACTGGTGTTGGAGATGGAACTGGTGTTGGAGATGGAACTGGTGTTGGAGATGGAACTGGTGTTGGAGATGGAACTGGTGTTGGAGATGGAACTGGTGTAGGAGATGGAACTGGTGTTGGAGATGGAACTGGTGTTGGAGATGGAACTGTGTAGGGAGATGGAACTGGTGTTGGAGATGGAACTGGTGTTGGAAATGGAAACTGGTGTTGGAAGATGGAGACTGGTGTTGGAGATGGAAACCGGTGTTGGAGATGGAACTGGGTAAGGAGATGGAACCGGTGTTGGAGATGGATACTGGTGTTGGAGGACCTGGTGTTGAACTGGTGTTGGAGATGGAACTGGTGTTGTGGGAGATGGAACTGGTGTGTTGGAGGGTGGTGTTGGAGATGGAGCTGGTGTAGGAACGATGGAACTACTGGTGTAGGAGATGGAACTGGTGTAGGAGATGGAACTGGTGTTGGAGATGGAACAGGTGTAGGAGATGGAACTGGTGTAGGAGATGGAACTGGTGTAGGAGATGGAACTGGTGTTGGAGATGGAACAGGTGTAGGAGATGGAACTGGTGTAGGAGATGGACTGGTGTAGGAGATGGAACAGGTGTAGGAAGATGAACTGGCGTTGGAGATGGAACTGGCGTTGGAGATGGAACTGGTGTTGGAGATGGAAACTGGTGGTTGGAGATGGGAGCTGGTTGTGGAGGGAACTGGTGTAGGGAGATGGAACTGGTGTTGAGATGGAACTGGTGTTGAGATGGAAAATGGAACTGGTGGAATGGAACTGCGTCGTTGGAGATGGAACTGGCCTGTTGGAGAGTGGAGATGGGTGTAGGAGATATGAACTGGTGTGGGAGATGGTGTTGGAGATGGAAGGAGGATGGAACTGGCGTTGGAGATGGAACTGGCGGTTGGGATGTATTGGAGATGGAACTTGTTGGAGAGGGAACTTGGTGTTGGAGATGGACTGGGTGTTGGAGATGGAACTGGGTGGTTGGAGATGGAACTGGTGTTGGAGAATGGAAGCTGGTGTTGGAGATGGAACTGGTGTAGGGAGGGAAACTGTGTAGGAGATGGACTGGTGGGAGAATGGAACTGGTGTTGGAGATGGAACAGGTGTTGGAGAATGGAACTGGTGTAGGACTGGTGGTGATAGAGATGGAACAGGTGTAGGAGATGGAACTGGTGTTGGAGGAGATGGAACTGGCGTTGGAGATGGAATCTGGTGTTGGAGATGGAACTGGTGTTGGATGAGATGGAAACTGGTGTAGGAGATGGAACTGGTGTAGTGTTGTGTGAACTGTGTTGGAGATGGAATTGGCGTTGAGATGGGAACTGGCGTTGGAGATGGAACTGGTAGATACTGGAGATGGAACTGGTGGTTGGAGATGGACCTGGTTGTAGGAGATGGACTGGCGTTGGAGATGGAACTGGTGTTGGAGATGGAACTGGTGTTGGAGATGGAACTGGTGTTGGAGATGTGAAGTGTGTTGGAGAATGGAACTGGTGTTTGGAGATGGAAATTGGCGTTGGAGATGGAACTGGCGTTGGAGATGGAACTGGTGTTGGAGATGGAAACTGGTGTTGTGGAACTGTGTTGGAGATGGAACTGGCTGGTGGGAGATGGAACTGGTGTTGGGATGGAACTGGTGTTGAGATGGAATGGTGTAGGAGATGGAACTGGTGTTGGAGATGGAACTGGTGTACTGGTGTTGGAGATGGAACTGGTGTTGGAGATGGAACTGGTTGGAGATGGAACTGGGTGTTGGAGATGGACTGGTGTGGAGATGGAACTGGTGTGAGATGGAACTGGTGTTGGAGATGGAACTGGTGGGTAGATGGAGACTGGTGTAAGATGTGGCGTTGGAGATGGAACTGGTGTTGGAACTGGTGTGGAGATTGGAAACTGGAAGGAGATTGGAACTGGGTGTTTGGAGATGGAACTGGTGTAGGAGATGGAACTGGTGTTTGGAGATGGAATGGTGTGGAGATGGAACTGGTGTTGGAGATGGAACTGGTGTTGGAGATGGAACTGGTGTAGGAGATGGAACTGGGTGTTGGAGATGGAACTGGGTGTAGGAGATGGAACTGTTGGAGATGGAACTGGCGTTGGAGATGGAACTGGTGTTGGAGATGGAACTGGCGTTGGAGATGGAACTGGTGTTGGAGATGGAACTGGTGTTGGAGATGGACTTTGGAGATGGAACTGGTCTGGCTGGTGTTGGAGATGGAACTGGTGTTGGAGATGGATTGGGAGATGGAACTGTGTTGGAGATGGAACTGTGTTGGAGATGGAATGGTGGGTTGAGAGTGGTGACGGTGTCGGAGATGGAACTGGTGTTGGAGATGGAACTGGTGTTGGAGATGGAACTGGCGTTTGTGAGATGGAAACTGAGATGAAACTGGACTGGTGTTGGAGATGGAACTGGTGTTGGAGATGGAACTGGCGTTGGAGATGGAACTGGAACTTTGAGTGGTGATGGTACTGGAGATGGAACTGGTGTTGGAGAGATGGAACTGTGTTGGAGATGGAATTGTGTGGGAGTGGTGACTGGAGATGGAACTGGTGTTGGAGATGGGACTGGGTGGAGATGGAACTGGTGTTGGAGTAGGTGATGTACTTGTGAGATGGATCTGGAGATGGAACTGGTGTTGGAGATGGAACTGGACTGGTTGGAGAGGTGATGGGGAGATGGAACTGGTGTTGGAGATGGGACTGGCGTTGGAGATGGAACTGGTGTTGGAGTAGGTGATGGTACTGGAGATGGAACTGGTGTTGGAGATGGAACTGGAGTTGGAGATGGAACTGGTGTTGGAGTAGGTGATGGTACTGGAGATGGAACTGGTGTTGGAGATGGGACTGGCGTTGGAGATGGAACTGGTGTTGGAGTAGGTGATGGTGTTGGAGATGGAACTGGTGTTGGAGATGGAACTGGTGTTGGAGATGGAACTGGTGTTGGAGATGGAACTGGTGTTGGAGGTGGATCTGGTGTTGGAGATGGAACTGGTGTTGGAGTAGGTGACGGTACTGGAGATGGAACTGGTGTTGGAGATGAAACTGGCGTTGGAGATGGCTGGTGTGGTACTGGAGATGGAACTGGTGTTGGAGTAGGTGATGGTAGATGGAGGATGGAACTGGTGTTGGAGAAGGTGGATGGTGAAGATGGAACTGGTGTTGGAGAATGGAACTGGTGTGGAGATGGAACTGGAGAGATGGAACTGGTGTTGGAGATGGAACTGGTGTTGGAGATGGAACTGGTGTTGGAGATGGAACTGGTGTTGGAGTAGGTGATGGTACTGGAGATGGAACTGGTGTTGGAGTAGGTGATGGTACTGAGAGATGGAACTGGTGTTGGAGTAGGTGATGGTACTGGAGATGGAACTGGTGTTGGAGATGGAACTGGTGCTGGAGATGGAACTGGTGTTGGAGATGGAAGAGACTGGAACTTTTGGAGGGACGTTGGAGATGGAACTGGTGTTGGAGTAGGTGATGGTACTGGAGATGGAACTGGCGTTGGAGATGGAACTGGTGTTGGAGTAGGTGATGGTATTGGAGATGGAAACTGGTGTTTGGTAGGTGGATGGTGTTGGAGATGGAACTGGTGTGGGAGATGGAACTGGTTGGAGATGGAACTGTGTTGGAGATGGAACTGGTGTTGAGTAGGTGACTGGTACTGGAGAATGGAGATGGTGTTGAGATGGTGATGGTGTGTTGGAGATGGAACTGGTGTTGGGAGATGGAACTGGTGTGGGGAGATGGAATTGGGTGTTGGAGATGGAACTGGTGTTGGTGTGGAGATGGAATGGTGTTTGGAGATGGAATTGATGTTGGAGTAGGTGATGGTGTGGAGGATGGAACTGGTGTTGGAGATGGAACTGGTGTTGGAGATGGAACTGGGTGGAACTGGTGGTTGGAGATGATGGTAGACTGTGAACTGGTTTGGAGATGGAACTGGTGAGTAGAGATTGGAAACTGTGTTGAGATGAACTGGCGTTGGAGATGGAACTGGCGAGAGAGAACTGGTGTTTGGAGGTGGAACTGTGTTGGATGATGTATATGGTGTTGAGATGGAACTGGCGTTGGAGATGGAACTGGGTTGGATGCGACTGGGCGTGTTGGAGGATAGGAGACTAACTGTTGGAGATGCAACTTGGTGGAGATTATGGTTGGGAGATGGTGTTGTAGAGATGGAACTGGTGTTGGAGATGAGAAACTGGAGTTGAGATGGAACTGGAGTTGGAGATGGAACTGGTGTTGGAGATGGAACTGGTGTTGGAGATGGAACTGGTGTTGGAGATGGAACTGGTTGTTGAGATGGAACTAGATGGAGAGAATGGTGTTGCAGATGAACTGGCGTTGCTGATGGAACTGATGTTGGAGATGGAACTGGTGTTGCAGATGGAATTGGTGTTGGAGACGGAACTGGTGTTGAAGTAGATGGTGTTGGAGATGGAACTGTTGTTGGAGGAGGTGAACGCTTGTTGGAGGAAAATTGACGGTGGTGGAGATGGACAACTGGTTGATAGGAAGTGACGGTGCGTGGGAGTGGTACTATTGTTGGAGGAACGCTGACGGTGGAGGTGGTACGGTTGTTTTGGAGGAAGTGACGGGTGGTGGGTGGTGGTGTCTAACTATTGTGGAGGAAGTGACGGGGTGGAGGTGGCTACCCTATTGGGGAAGAAGGTGATAGTGGTCGCCATGGGAGACAGTGCACTGTTGGAGGAAGGTGACGAAGTTGGTGGGAGATGGAACTGTTGAGGAAGGACTGATGGTGGTGGTGGGTACTAAGACCGCGCTCGCGCGCTGTGTATGTGGTAAATGCCTCATAGAGGAGGAAGTGTATGTGTGGTAGTGTTTGTTTGGAGGAATGACGGTGGGGGAGATTGGAAACGACGGAAGGTGGCGGCTGGATCGGAGAATAGAAGTGCACGTGTGTGTAGGAAGTGACGGTGGTGGAGGATGCGTGAGCATATTGTTGGAGGAAGTGACGATGGGATGGTAGGGTTTGGTACTATTTGTTGGCGAAGTGACAATGATGTGCGTGGTTGGTGGTACTATTGAGGAAGTGACGGGGTGGCAGATGGAGAAGAGGAAAAGCGCCGTGTCGTGGAGGTGGTAGAGTGAGGAATGTGACGGGTGGAGGTGGTACTGTTGTTGGAGAAGTGAACGGGGCTCGACTATATCAGGGTGAGGTTGCGGTAGGAAAAAAAGAGAATGGTACTATGTTGGGCAGAGGAGGTGGATAGTGGTGAGTTGGAACACTGCTGTATGGAGGAAGTGACGCGTGGTTGAGAGATAGTTGTATATCTGTATTACGTGTATGTGTAAGAGCTAGTACCGTTGGTTGGTGGGACTATTGGTGAGGAAGTGACGGTGGTAGGGATCGCCGCTCTCACTCGTCTCGTTGGAGGAAGTGATGGAGAGTGGTGGAACTGGTTAGTGGTCTGGATGGAACGTGAGTGGTGAAGAGTGGCAACTGTTGGAAGGAAAGTGGCGGCGGTGGAAGATGAACTGAGGTTGACGAGGAGGAAGTTGTGCACACGAGATGGTGGAGGTGGTACTATTGTTGGAGAAGGATGACGGTGGTGGAGAGTGGTACTATTGTGTGGAGGAACTGCTGACGAGGGTGGTGGCGTGGGGTACTAGGTGAGAGGAGAGGGTCTTAGTTGTTTGGGAGGAAGTAGACAGGGGGTGGAGAGTGGATTGTTGGAGGAAGTGATGAGTGGCTGGTGGTAGGTACTGTTGAGTTGGGAGGGAAGTGGTGGTGGTACTGTTGTTGGAGGAAGTGGATGGTGACTGTTGTGGGAGGAAGTGATGGTGGTACCGTTGGAGGAAATGATGGTGGTACTGGTTGGAGGAAATGATGGGTGGTACTGTTTGGAGGAAGCTGATGGCTGGTACTAGTTGGGAGGAAGTGATGGTGTACTGTTTGGAGGGAGTGATGATGGTACTTTATGGAGGCAAGGTGATGGTGGTACTGTGGAGGAAGTGAAATAGGTGCGTAACTGTTGAGAGGAAATGAATGGTGGTACTGTTGGAGGAAGGTGATTGTACTGGAGTTGGAGGAAGTGACGTAGTGGTGGTGGTACCTCAGATTGCTGTGGACGGAAAGTGACGGGGGTGGAAGGTGGTATCTATTTGACAAGAGGATGATGTATATGTGATATGTGTGGTGGGAACTATTGTTGAGATGGAAGTGACGGAGGTGGTATGGTGGGTAGCCTGTTGGAAGGAAGTGGACGTGTTGGTACTGTTTGGAGGAAGTGATGGTGGTACTACGGTCTGGAGGAGAGTGATGGGTTGAATACCTGTTGGAGGAAATGATGGTGGGTACTGTTGGAAGGAAACATGATGGTGGTTACTGGTTGGAGGAAAGCTCAATGGGTTGGGTAGTCGTTGGAGGAAATGATGGTGGTAACTGTTTGGAGGAGTGACGGGTGAGAGAAGCTGTTGGAGGACATGATGGTGATGAGAGAAGTGATGGTGGGTAGAGAGTGATGGTGGGTACTGTGGAGAAGTATAGTGGTACTGTTGGAGGAAGTGATGGTACTGTTGGAGGGAGTGACGGTAGTGGTGGTGGTAACTATTGTTTGGAGAGAAGTGACCGGG